GGGGGGGGGGGTTGCTCTTCGCTGGCGGCCCTGCAGCTCTGCACACGCAGACTTCTCCTCTGTTCCCAGTTCCTAAATTCCTAGGATACCACGTGGCTTCACCCAAGGAAACACCTTGCGGGTCTGGCTCCCTGTCCTCCAAGGTCAGATGGAAAAGCCTTTTGTGATTAACTCGCCACGGTGTGTCCTTTGGTATTTGGAGCCGCAGTAGGCATTTTCATTAGTTATCTGAATTTTGAATGCTGACTCAGATAAGCTTCATAGAATGGGAAAGGCAGGTCCTCCAGTAGTTAGGAGACTGGGGCCTGCCCACCTCACCTCGCAAGGCTGTTCTTTGTCACCCGAGAGGCCCTGTGCCCGTGAAGAACAGTCATGAGTCTTTATAAACACCCCGCCTTCTCTCGCTCTTTTCTGACAGTTTCCTTACGCGGCCCCGCCTCCCCAAGAACCAGTGAAGACTCTGCGAAGCCTGATCAACATTCGGAAGGACACGCTGAGGCTCGTCAAGTAAGTCCCGGCACTCAGGCCAGGGGCCAGGGGCCTTGTGGAAACTATTTAAACTATGTACTAGTAACTTTGATTACAATGGAAACTAAACATAAATAAACATAACTAAACATAAACAAGTGCATACGGACGTTAGTTAGTAGTAGCGCTGTGAAATATCAGCCATCACTAGACGCCCCGCCGTGGTAATGAGGTCCCCTGCCACCATCCCCAAGGAGGGTGGAAGCCGAAGTTTATGGTCATGGAGAGAAGCCTACAATATGTTAACTTAAAAAAAAAAAAAGATATGGTCCGGCCAGCGTGGCTCAGTGGTTAAGCGCTGACCTATGAACCAGGAGGTCACAGTTTGATCCCCGGTCAGGGCATGTGCCTGGGATGCAGGCTCGATCCCCAGCAGGGGGCGTGCGGGAGGCAGCCGATCAATGACTCTCCCTCTCCTTCCTCTCCCTGAAATCAATTTTTAAAAAGATACGTTTTTAAATACCGGTTTGCTAGATGTGCCGAGGAGGTGAAGACCCCTGGGGAGGAGGCCGGCAAAGCTAAAGTCCACTACAACGTGGAGTTCACCTTTGACACCGATGCCCGAGTGGCCATCACCATCTACTATCAGGCCACTGAGGAGTTCCAGAATGGCATTGCCAGGTAAGAACCAGACACCAGGCGAGCCGCTCCCTCCCCGGCCAGGTGAGGCCCGTGCCTTAGACGCTCGCCTGGGGAGGAAAACATTCCTTTCCTGCAACCAGGTGAGATCTGGTTCTTGAACTTGCTTCTACAGAGCCTCACTTCCGCCCCTTTTCTCTTTAAATTGTGCTCTGTGGGTGCAGTGGCAGATGGCAGCGTAGCCCTTTAGGCCATTAAGATGCTGTGAAAACTCTATTAAGCTGCCCTCCTGTGACTGAGTGGGTCTCATAGATAAGTTTAATGGCATTACCAAGCAAAAGCAAAGGAAATAGATAACAAAGGGGGTCTGGCCTACTCTGCTTTATTCCTAGAGCCTGTGGATAATTGGGAACAGGCACGAGCTGGAGGAAGTGGTCAGATCCGTCTGGGCTGCACACTAACTCTCGCTCTGCTTCCTGCTTTGATCAATAGCTACATCCCCAAAGACAGCAGCCTGCAGTCGGAGACGGTGCACTACAAGCGAGGGGTGTGCCAGCAGTTCTGCCTGCCCTCCCACACCGTGGACCCCTCCCAGTGGGCCGAGGAGGAGGTGAGCCGCCCCGGGTGGAGGGGACTGGCTGCTGGGAGAGAACGCGGGGCAGGTTCCGCACGTGGACCCAGACGGGCCTGGGAGCTGGTTAGGACCACGGCCAGCAGCAAAGGGACTAAGTCACCCAGGCTCTCGAAGGTCATGCTCACCTTCAGCCTTGGGACTCCTTCAGATCCTTGAAAGGATACGCCTAACCTCATCACTTTTCTATTCCAAACTAGCCGTTAGCCTGGGGCATTTCAAGACATCCACGCTCAAAGAAAAGCACCTGGAGGGAGGTTAAGGGCTGTACCTCTGAGAGATTTTAAAAAGAAACTAAGCGTGGCTCAGTGGTCGGCGTGGCTCAGTGGTTGAGCGTCAGCCCATGAACCAGGAGGTTGGGGTTCGAGTCCCAGTCAGGGCCCATGCCTGGGTTGTGAGCTTGATCCCCAGTAGGGGGCGCTCAAGAAGCAGCCGGTCAATGACTCATCATTGATGTTTCTCTCTCTCCCCCTCTCCCTTCCTCTCTCTGAAATCAATAAAGACAATTGTTTTAAAAAAATGCAATCTCTATAATACATAAATAAATAAAGTAAAAAGAAACTGGTAGCCTTCTGTCAAACGGACGCGGGTGGTTCCGAGGTCGGTGGTGGAGAAGCCGAGACAGGTTCTTGGTGACACAACACCTCCCTTTCTGATGGTCCCTGTGCCATTTAACATGTGGGCTCCTCTGTTCTTATTTCTCTTCTTCCCCTCCAGCTTGGCTTCGACCTGGACCGAGAGGTCTACCCCCTGGTGGTCCACGCCGTGGTGGACGAGGGAGACGGTATGGGCGCCCTACCTTCTTTTGCCAACACGCGGCCCTTTCGTGGCACGAGGCCCGGGGCAGCCGGGGCCGCCTCTGTGGGTGCCGGGCGGTGCCTGCACCCCCCTCCCGCAGTCCTGTTTCCCAGGCCCTCGGGCTGACAGGAACCCCCCTGGTTCCGTGACGTGGCCCTGTGGTGACAGCCCAGGACGTGTGCCCGGCTGCGGGGAATCGCGGGGGGCGGGGGGTGGCCGGCGGGCCTCAGGCAGGTGTATTGCTTGGCTTTCCTCGTCACCCATGTGCCTTCGTTTCTTCCAGAGTATTTCGGCCACTGCCACGTGCTGCTGGGCACTTTCGAAAAGGTGAGTGAGGGGCTTTCTAGGGCCTGACGTTAGCGCAGTTCACTCTTTCGCGGGGGGACGCGTTAACCCTTGTTGCTGGCTGCTGAGCTCAGGCTGGGGGGCACTGTAATTCCATGGTGAGGGTCCCAGAACATGCGCAGTTGAGAGAAGTCGCAATGAACCGCTGGGGCTTTCTAGCCTCCCCCCCCCCGTCATGTCATAACTGTCATATTTTTATTCCAGCACACGGATGGGACTTTCTGTGTCAAGCCCCTCAAACAGAAGCAAGTAGTAAGTATTGAGGGCGGGGACTGTTGGTGCCCCCCCCCCCTTTCGCCTTTGCTAAGCACTCTTCTTTCCCTCTCACCCTCCTTTTTTTTTTAAATCAAAGGAGAGAAGAAAGGGTGTGCTTTTGTATGTTGGAAACTACGTGGGTGGCCTGGAAGGGACACTGAGTTTTGGTGTCTTTACTGTTCCAGAATTGTTGGCGTCGAGGCAGCCATTCTCCGAGCAAAGGGCCTGAGAAGTGAAAGGACAAGATTTGTCTCCTGCCATTAGGTTTAGCGAGCACTCCTTTTATCCAAAATGTCAGGCCTGAAACACTTCAAGCTAAATGAGAAAGCGCTGGAACCCGACTCAGGGCCAGTTAGGGCGCCTGGCTTCACGTATCCCACCAGGGCTTTTCTAACATCCAAAGTTCGCCAGCCAGCTGCCCCCTTCCAGAGTGACCCGCCAGTCAGGCACCTGTCTGCCAGAAGTCCTACCCCAGCTGTGCCCCACGCCGTCCCCTCTCGCAAAAGTAGGGGGAGAGCCCTGGAGGGTGAGGAGGGGGCAGTGGTGCCTGGGACACTGGCAGCCCCCACCCATGGGGTGATGGGCATCGGAAATCCTACAGTATTCATTTTTGTGAGGGGTGAAGTGCTCTCCCCTCTTAATGAGGGCAGTAGTAGTCAAAATACCTTAGTATAAATTAGTTGATAGCGTCCTTTCTCTTAAAGCAGGTTTTAAGAGAGGCAAACGGACCCTGAGCCCAGGGTGCTGCCTCGATAGGGTGGCCGGCTGGAGTAGCTCAAGGAAAATGGCTTATCTGTTTCTGGTGCTAGATTGGCGTTAGTCACAGACTTTGTCAGACCGGAGAGTAGGATACAAAGTCAGTGACAAGCTAGGTCTCAGGAGAGGGGACCTAGACAGAGGCCAGGGAGCGGAGTGGCCTCCATTAGAGAAACCAGGGACGGGCCAGCTTTAGCACCGCCATGGCCCAGACTAGTGGGAGGGACACTGGCTGTTGAAGTTGGAGGTTTAGGAAACAAGGCCAGGAGGGGAGATTTTGCCGCCTGTTGGGGACGGGCGATTCCGTGGCCGGGGAGGGGCTCAGGCGGCCTCTCCTTCAACCCCTGCCTTCCACATCTGTCCCTTCCCCTCTTTTCCTTGCCCATTTCTTCTCTTTATTTCCTTTCCATTCCTTTATCTTTACAATGTGTCATAGCTCGTGTTACATTTTGATACATAACTGTTCCATCTTTTTCTAGCCTACGCCTTTCGTAACTGTCAGCAGTAGCGAGGGCAGGACACGTATTATGGCTGTTTGTGAACCTTTGTGTCCCTGTTGGCGTAACGGTGGGTGAATTAACTGGTTTTCTCTCCTCTCTCAGCGAGGAGACATGAGTAAATAAAAGCAGCCTTGGATTTTCCCATTGTGAACCCGCAGCCCTTAGTGACGAGCGGGGGCGGGAGTTGCCGCTCTTATCTCAGTGGGGTCAGCCTGCCCTTGAGCTGCTTTCCCTGTTTGCTCGGCAGGTAGACGGGGTCAGCTACCTCCTCCAGGAGATCTACGGCATTGAGAACAAGTACAACACGCAGGATTCCAAGGCGAGTTCGGCCGAGATGCTGAATGCACTCTCCCCGAGAGGCACAGTGAGAAAGTCTCTTGATAAAGCCGGGATCTGGAGGTGTTGGGTGCCAGGCTCTGCAGTCAGTTCGGTCCTAGAAGGCTATTTTTCTGTTCCTCATTTCAGAGCATGACACTTCAGTTACTTTGGAGGCCCTGGCCAGTGTGGCTCAGTTGGTTGAGCGTCGTCCCCTGCGCTAAGGTCCCCGGTTCAGTTCCCGGTCAGGGCACATGCTCGGGTTGCCGGCTTGATCCCCAGTAGGGGGCGTGCAGGAGGCAGCCGACTGATGTTTCTCTCACATCGATGTTTGTCTCTCTCCCTTCCTCTCTCTCTAAAATAAATAAAAACCTATTTTAATATAAATAAATAATACATTAAAAAAATTTTTTTAAATCACTTTGGAAATGAAAAAACAACGGGCCAGTTTGGGTTAGTCCTCCGAGAGCCCCGGGCCCCCCGTTTGCTGGCCGGGCTTTCTGGATGCTGATCTTTAAACCCCTCCTCTTCCCTGTGTGGTCCGCTCGGCTCCGCAGCTCAGCTGGTGGGAGAGGCCGGGTCTGAGCCACACGGACGAGCTTGAGATAAGGGCTCCCAGAGTAAACGAAACCGAGAACGCGAATCCACCGGGTAAACTGTAAAGCCCCATGTGAATGTGAGGTTCTGTTCCTATTTCTTGTCTCAGTCCTTCGGGCAAACCGCCTGGTATAGAGCGTATGTGTCTTTCGTCCCGGGCTCAGCTTCTGTCTCCCCGCCAGGTCGCAGAGGATGAGGTGAGTGACAACAGTGCCGAGTGCGTGGTGTGTCTCTCGGACGTCCGGGACACCTTGATTCTGCCCTGTCGCCACCTCTGCCTGTGTAACACCTGCGCGGACACCCTGCGCTACCAGGCCAACAACTGCCCCATCTGCCGACTGCGTAAGCCCCGTCGGGTCCACACGCAGATGGGTGCTGGGCCGGGGGATGGGCGCTGGGCCGGGGGAT